GGCGCGGAGGCCCCGCGGGCAGCCCGCCGGCCCACCCTCCCGCCGACCGCAGAGCCCCTTCCCCAGCGCCCGCACCCCTTGCATTCCCTCCCCCAACCCCCAGATGGGAACCCACGAGCATCCCCTCCTCCCTCTCCCGGCCTCCTTTAGTGGACCCCACCCTAGGTGACAGGTGGGGCCAGGGCACCTCGCCTGGGCCCCTGGGATCCGCAGCGGCTTGCACCCTCAGCCAGCCCCGCAGCAGCGGGAGAGGGCTGGATTTCCAGAGCCCGAGGCACCCCCAGGCAGGGCAGATCAGGAGGCCTGTCCAGATGAAGGCCTGTCCCCACCCCCACCCCGACCCCAGCCCAGTCTCTGTGCTCCGGGGCTGGGGGCACTACGGGAAGGGAAGGAGGCCTGGCAGGCTTGGAAAGGGCTCTGCAGAGGGGCCAGCAGGGTCTGGCCTTGGCTTTCTGCAGTCACAACAATGGGCCCTTTGTGGGGTCCAGCTGCCTCGCTGGCCCCTGTCATGCTGGACCAGGCATTCTGGAAGTCTGCCCGCAACCGGGTCTCCACCACACGTTCCCTTGAGGTGCGGAGCTCCAGGGGATGCCCTTGAAGGCCGGGAAAATAGCAGGGCTTTTTAGGAGGAGCTGGATTAGCATCCTGGCTCGATGCCCACACTGAGCAGCGGGGGTATATTCCAAAAATCAGGGGCAAGGGCTCTAGGTTGGGACCTCCCCTCACTGCTCAGCCACCTGACCCCAGCAAGTGTCTGAACCCTCTCAGCTTCTGGTTTCACCACTTTCAAATTGGGTCTAAAAATAAGGTCCCCACCTGTGAGGCCCCGGTTCAGGAGAGGGCTGAACAGCTGTGCAGCTTCACCGCTTTGAAGTAGGGCATTAGTGCAGGAGGGGCTTCTCTGTGCCAGCCTGTGCTGCCAGCATCAGGAAGAGTCAAGCACAGGTGAAGTAGTACAGTGACAGTCCCCCGGAAGGGAAGGTCCTAGCCTGCTGTCAACCATGGCATGGGAGCATGCTGGGGTGTAGGTTTGGAGAAGACATCATCCTTGAACCTCTTGACCAGCTGACGTGGTTTTCCTGCTCAACGTGGGCACCGAGGCCACCTGGCAAACATTTCCTAGCTTCCTGCTCCTTCGGGGCAGCCCTGAGGCTGGCACTGAGGTCCCTGATACAAATGCATGCAGACTCAGGGCACTTTGAACAAAGAACGCCCCACCGATGGAATTCAGGGCAGTCCTCATGCCGACAGATGGGGCCACTAGAGCCGTTTGCACACCCACTCCTAGTTTCAGTCACCTCCCTTGCTTGGACTGAGGAGATTCCTGCCCCCTCGTTTGTCAAATGATTTTGAGCTTGTTGGAGAAATCGCTTCCTCTGGTCACTTAATCCTTTCACTCTGCACCCCCATTGTACAGAGGAGGAAGTAGAGGCTGAGGGGCTTACCCTAGGCTTCCTGGGTGCTGCAGGGAAGGATAGGCCTGGATCCTGGTTGGAAGTTTGGGGGGGCAGGAAGGGTGAAATAAGGAAACCAAGTGAGCCAGTGCTAGCCTTTGGCCTTGGAGGCGCTTGCTGTCACCGGCATTGGTGTTTAAGGGGGACTGGTGCAGCCTTCTGGCAGCTGCCCAGAGCTCTGTGGGCATGCCTCTGGCCCTGAGCGCCCTGGGGCCCACTGCAGCATGGTTGAGGGTGGATTCCACACTTAGTGGCTGCACGTTGGAGGACGAGCCCTGTGCACCCAGGCGACCTGTGCTTTTTAAGACCTCTTAACCAAAGGGTCTAGGATTCGGGTGCTGAGGAAGTTCCCCTGTCCCCACGCACCTTCCCCCTATTCAGTGTTTGCTTATCAAGTATTCACTGAGTGCCTGCACCGTGCTCAGCCCTCTGCCACGTGCTCCACTGTGGGGAGGCTGGTGGCAGGTGGCCCAGCCTGCTCAGTGGCCCCAGAGGAGGAGGGAGGAGGGCTAATGGAGCCTGAGGACTGGAAGTGCCAGCGAGCGAGCAAGGACCATCCAGCATTGCACAGGCAGACTTGAGGCCCATCCTCGTGCCACCTGGGAGAGGGAGCTAATCTTCACTTTAGATAAAGGAGGGGGAGACTCCTTGGGTGGGAGGTCTTTGTCCTGGGCAGCGGGAGAGGCAGTGACTAGGCCTTGACATGGGCTTCAGAGCCTTAGCTGGGGAGAAGAGGAGACCCAGAGGCTCTCATTGCCCAGTTGGAGGAGGGGCAGAGGGGCGTGCTCTGCCATGACTCCCCAGCCCCAGTTCAAGGCCAGGGGCAAACTGGCTTCCTAGTGCACTTCCTGGTGCTCTTCCTGTAGCAGGAGAAGAAACAGAAACCTTGAGCTTGCCACGCTCCTCTCTCCTGCCCTTAGGACCTTGTGCACCTTAGGAGCTCCAGGAAAAGGACAGGGTCCAGGCCAGACCCCGGGGAAGTCCAGCACATGCCGCAGGGTGCTGCCGGAAGTTCCAGCTGCTGCAATTGTTCTTCTTGTCGTTTCATTTTAACACCTTTCACCCAGCACCCCGTCATTTGCTTAATTCTGAGGCTTATTCTTCTCCTTCCCGTTACTCTGTGGGCACCCTAGGGCAAGGATTTGTATCTGCTTTATTCAGGCCATGTCCAGCACCCAGGGCGGTGCTTGGGCCAAGCCACTGTGATTGCTGCAGCTTTTTGCTGGGCACTGGGGCCGTTGGCAGCTAGCGATGAAAAGCAGGTCTGCATCCTTCTTCCTTCCTCCCCTAGGGATGGAACCCAGTGCCTGCCCCTTCCCCCCAGACCCCTGCCCCTTCCCTTTCAGCATTGTTTTTGGTTGAGGGAGGGGGTGGGCGCAGAGGAGGGACCCTGGACCTGAGGTGGTGTCTTGTGTTTGCTTTGCCTCTGCCCACAGGTCCACTGATAGCTGGGCACGTACTTGTGGAACTGGCCTTGTGACCTAGATCCGTGGGTGTTGTCCCTAGTTCCGGCTGGCCCGGGACCAGAGGCACCTGCCAGCTCTGCTGCTGAGCCTGGGGGGGGGGGAGAGAACAGCACGTGGCGTCCCCATGCCCCAAGCCAGTGGAGCCTGAACTCTCTCTCAGGAAGGAGGCGCAGGTGGCTGATGCCCCCACAAAGCCCAAGTTCAAACCCCAAGACCTGGGGGCTGCTGCTTCCCTACCTGACCCGTGCCCTGCCCTGGGACAATGGACTTACCTCTTGGAGCTTCATTTCTCTCCTTCAAGGAGATGAGAGTTGTAGGGACAAGTGGGACACCCCTGCACTGTAGGGACAGCCACATAATTTGTGGGGCCCAGTGCTGCCCCTCTGGAAAAGTATTAGGAATTTCAAGATGGAGGCCGCGGAGCATTGAGCCAAGTGTGCAGCAAGCTTGGGACCCTGTGTGACAACAGGGGCCACAGCCTGTGGTGCTGGCCCTGTGCGGTCCCTTGGGTCACTTCTCACTCTGGCCTTCCAAGTGGTCTCTGCCCTCTGGGAGACCCCAGACCTCTTCAGGACCCAGTGGGAGCTCTCCAAGGTGGAGCAATACTTCCCCATCCTGGTGCTGGCCCTCGGGTCTGGACCCCGTGCACCCCGCAGCCTGTGTGCTAGGCCCTGCAGACCGTGGCTGCCCCTGCGCCTGCGCCCGGCTGAGCCTCAGCCCCCGCGGGGACTGTGAGCACAGTTAACCCGAGCAGAGTGACAGCAGGGAGGCCTGCATGCCCAGTGAGCCTCGTCCCAGCGGAGCTCCCGGGAGCGACCACAGCACAAGCTTCACAGCCATGTGCGTAAATGGAGGCCTGCCTAAAACCCAGAGCCGAGGGAACGCGGGAGCCCGTGTGTTGTGTTGATTGAGCACTTACTAGCTCAGGACGGCTGGAAGAAGCTGGCAGGGGTCCACTCACTTTGACCCCGGCAGCTCTCCAAGGCAGCACTGCACTGTTCCTGGACACACAGGGCCTGTTGAGGTGGCAGAGGGCAGGAGCAGGGCCCATCAGCCAGCGGTGGCCCATTGCCGCCTTATAGGCTTCTTTTCCATTCACTAAATTGAGAGCGATCTGGAGCCCCTTCTGATTGGCTTCCTCTTGGCTGACCCTGTCCAGCAGGGCTCCTCACAAAGCTCAGAGCTTTCAGTCTTTTTCTTGTTTTTCTTTCTATTTTTAAAACTGGTTTCATGCAGTCTGGCCCTTGATTCTGGAATCAGCGTTTTCAAAAGCCCTTACACCAGCTGATGGCATCACTCTTGAAGGCCAGGTCTGCGTGCTGTCCACGGGGCTGTGTCCACCTGCTCCTCTGGGCTGGGCGTGTAGGGGACTCGCTCCCCCAGGCCTTTGGATCCCCGGCTCTGATCTCCTGGTGGCTGTGACCTTGCTTTAGTAGGCAGTGGCCTTGCATTCCCCGCTCCCCCCCCCCAGTTGCTGGGCGGTTTCTATAGACCCAGGAGAGCCAGGCAGGGCATAGGAGGGCCCTGGGGTGAGGCTGAGCTGGTACCTCTAAATGGTGCGCTTGAACCCCACTTCCATCGGGATCGTTTGAGAAGATGTCAAAATCCCCAAACTCAAGCTGTACCCCAGGCCCAGTGGTCCGGACCCCAGGGTGGGGCCTGGGTACTTTTGAAAGCCCCTTTGTGATTCCAGTGCTCTGTGTTGAGAGAACCCATAGCCAGCAGGGCAGAGGCCACCAGTAAAGTGATGGGCTGGGGGTCTTTTCTGTTAACATCCTCTATCTTCCAAGAAGTCCCAGGCCAACAGCTCCAGCATCGCCCGGGAGCTCTTGAACCTGCATCATCTCAGCGCCCACCTGCATCAGAAGCGCGTGTTAGCACAAGTCCTGGCTCTGGGAGACGGTGACACGCGGAGTCCTGCCCGTGCACACCACTGTCAGGCTGCCTCACTCAGGGCTCCCAGGCATCCTGCACGGAGGACCCACGGTCTCTTGGTTCAGCCCAGTTTTGCCTGATGAGTCCTCGGAGGCGCCCTGCTGTTGCTAGAATGCCTAGAACCCGGTTTGGGAAACACAGCCCTAATTGTCCTTTAGGAGTGGTAATTAGCCTAATTGTCTGTTGCAGCTTTAACATTTAGGCCTATTAACCTAATTACCTTGGCTGTGTGAGGGCAGAAACCTCCCACGCTCCACATAAAAAATCCTGGCCCAAGGGAGAGGCGGGAGGAGTCCCTCCTGCACTCCGTAGGAGCTCCTTAGGATGCTCCTCTGTGCCCTCTGAGCAGGCACGCTGAGTCCTGTTCATACCCAGGGAAATCAGCCCTCAGAAACTCTGGGTGTCAGCTGTATGCTCGCCTGACCCCGGCACCCGGGAGGCTGTGGTAGGAGGATCACCCAAGCCAGGAGGTCGAGACGAGCCCGGGTGACATAGTGAGACCCCAGCTCAGAAGGGAAAAGGAAAAAGAAATGCTGGGTCTCCTGGCTGGTGCAGCAAGGGGCCCCCTGGGGACCTGGCACACCTGACAGTGCCATCTCTGGTCCTTGTCAGCAGCCCCCTCCTGGAACCTGCCCTGCTCAGGAAGCGAGATGCATTTGAACTGGACCGAGTCTGCTGTGTTCCAGTGGTGGGCCCCCTGGACGAAGGACGGATGCAGTTAGGGTCGCAGCTCATCCATGTGCCTGGACACATGGCTGCTGGCTTCCCAGCGGCCCCTGCAACACGAGCTCCCTTCCTCTTGCTCTGGTCTGGGTGGCAGGGTCCCTGAAGGAGGGGGCAGCGCTACCTTGTTGCTCCTGCCTGTGGTTCTTGAGCTATGAGCCCTGTGCTGAGCGTCCTGCCGGGCGCCTCGCTGGACTGAAGTCACGCTGGCCTTATGCGTGACATGAGACTGTTAGGACTTTATTTTATTTTTGCTTAATTTTTTAAGCTAGCATATAATAAACTTGGCTCTTTTTTTGGTGCACACTTTGAAATGTTAGACATGTTTATCATGTAATCACCAGCCGCAGCTGGTACAAACCAGCCCTGGGCCCCCAGACCCCTCAGGCCTCCTCTCCAGTCACACTGTGTTAATTCAGTTTTTGGAAGTGCAGCCAGAACACTTGAGGTCTGCAGTCTTAACAGACTCCAGTGCACGATGCATGGGGTCGATCACAGGTAGTGCCACCCCTCAGATCTCTAGGGACATGCTTGCTCCACAGGCCTGAAACCTTTATCTGTGGAAATCTCCCAGCGTCCCTCTCCCCGGCCCCTGTGACCTCATTTCTTTAGTCTGCCTGTTTTGGAAGCCTCATGTCTCAGAATCAGATAGTATTTGGCCTTCTGTGCCTGACACATTTCACTTAGTATGCTCCTGGTTCATCTGTCTCACTGCAAACGACAGGATTCCCTTTCTTTTTCCAGGCTGAGTAGTATTCCAGCACGTGTGTATGCCTGCATTCACTTGTTGAGGTTGATTCCTCGTTTTTCTCCATCAGTGGGCTGCCTGGGGTGCGACGTCTCTTTGAGATCCTGATTTCAGTCCTTTGGAGAGGGCCCTGTCATGGGCTTGCTGAATCCTGTAGTCCACTTGTGGGTTTTCCAGTGGCCTCCAAAGTGGCCTCTGCGGTGGCTGCTCTGTGTTCCCCTCCCACCAGCAGAGCGTAAGGGAGCCCTTTTCCCACATCCCCCCGCAACACTGGTCATGCTTCCTGGTACAGCTGACCTAGCCCGTGTGGTCTGAGTCCCAGGGACTGGCATTTATTTCCCTGGCGATGAGCAATGTTGAGCATCTGATAGACTGGTGGCCGCTCGTCTCTGAAGATGTGTCTGTCCCTGTCCTCTGGGTTTCTCATGGGCTCCTGTGTCGTGTATTTTGGATATGAGCCCCTGTTGGACGTGCGGCTTGCAGGTGCCTGCCCTCCCCACGGGCTGCCCACTCGCTCCTGCGGCTTTAGTTTTAAGTAGGAAGCCGGTCCAGGGCTGGGAACGGCCAGGCCACCACCGGCTGGCAGAGCGGCTGGAGCCCCAGGGGCTGGTGGCTCCCCTCAGTGCCTCCTGCCTGGCTGCTGCCCTGACCGGCCAGTTGCTGGCTGCCACCGGCTCTCAGGCCAGAAGGCACAGAATTTAGCCACAGTCTCCCTGAAGAACTTGGGGGCCCGGTACTGCCCAGCCTGGTTTGACGTTTCCTGGGTCCAGGTGACACTCAAAGAGTGTGCAGAGAGAGCCTCCAGATCTTCAGGGGGACGTGCTGCATGGTGGTCCACCCTGTCCACCTTCCAGAAGGTTCCCCACTGTAAATCCCGCAACTGGGCATACGGCCAGGCCGCCCTGGGAACAGCCCTCGGGTGCTGGCCTGACGGGTCTCTGAATCTGCATTCCTGCCTCGCTCTTCTCCGCCCGGGGGCCCTGGACGAGAGACTGTCCCCAAGCCTTGGTTTGCCTTACCTGCAAATTGGGGTGTTCGTACTGTCCCCGCAGGGCTTTGGGGAGGATGGGACCAGCGCCTGTGGCCTGTGAGATGCGCTGCCTGGAAGGAGGAGCGCATCCCCCCCCCCCTTCCTGCAGCACAAGCCCATGGTCCTCGCAGCGCCCCTGACCCCAGCCGCCAGTCATCTGGAGACGGCTCTTGGAAAGCCTGGCCCCTTGTTTGCAGAGAGGCTCGCGTGAGCACACCTCGTGGTTAGGCCTGAAGCTGGACTCTGCATCCTTGGTGGCACCCACAGGGACACAGATGCCAGACCTCAGTGAGCGGTCGGAGCAGGCGCAGGCCCCGGCCAGCGGCGGCGATGCCCCAGCAGGAAGCGGGGCCCCGTGTGGCCCTAATGAAGACCTCATGACGTGTGTGGAGGTGCTTGGCGCCAACTCTGGTTTTATTTCTGTCTAGCACCACAGTCACCAGCCTTTCCAAGGGTCGTTGATGGCTGCAGTGTGCAGGCCCCGTGTGTGTGGTGTGTGAACAGCTGTGCTCGCTGGGCGGATGGACAGACCTCTGGGCCGAGCCCTGGACTCTGGTGGGCACAGACCTGCAGCAGGACAGAGGCAGCCTCGGAGTCCCGTCCTACCCTGGGCCTGGCCTGGCCCAGGCTTGGCCCAAGGGGCTGACTCCTCCAGGCCCGTCTGCTGGGATGGCACTGCTGCCTTTACCATTGCTCCTGCCTCCCTGGGCAGGCCTAGAGCTGGTGGAAGTCCCTCCTGAGGGACACGCCCTTCTGCAGGACCTGTCATACCTCCTGCTCCCAGGGTGTCCCCATCAGGAACCTCCCGCTGAGGCACTGGTAACACCGGGGGTCCCCACGGAGCCAGCTGTTACCAAGGGCCAGGCTTGGACTCTTCCGCGCACCCTCGAGGCAGGATGCCGGGGTACAGAGGGGACAGGACTCGGCAGAGTCACGCAAACAGGTGACACAGCCTTGACTGGCACGCTGTGACATCAGAGCTGGCCTTCCTGACCACGGCTTCAGCCCCTGGGGGTAGGTTAACACTGGCATTTTCTCGGGGACACCCCACGGACACCGACGTCATCCCGTCCGCCTGGTTGTGTTTGTCACTGTTGCCATGGGAGCCTGAGGCCTCTGGGTAATGGGAGGAGGCCGCCGGTGGCCATTTCCCATTGCGCAGCTGCCAGGCAGGAAGTTCCTGGGAGCCCAAGGAGCGTCTGTGGTTAGTGCCACCGCCTCTTGCGGAGGAAGCCCTGGCCGGTCCCCAGAGCCCCAGCTGCAGGCCCAGCGTGGGCTGGGTGAGGGTCGGCTGCCCCCTGACCATGTTCACTGAAGCTCTGCTGCCAGGCTAGGGCCTGCCCCTGCCTCGCAGGCCTGGTGCATCTCATTTTTACAAACTAAGGGAACTTTTAATTCAGAAATGATTTTAAGTGTATGAAAAGTTGTGTTGCCACGTACCCCATGTCCCGTGTCCCCACGGTCCATGCGTTACGTTGCCGTGACGTGTTCATCCGGCTGAGAAGCTGACCTGTGGCTCCTCTTCTCCCTCCTCTCCCTGTAAACTGACCCTCCTGGAGGGAAGGAGACCACCCAGTCCCCGTGTGACGTCACATGACTTAACATGAGCAGGACCCAGGGCAGGGGCAGCTCGGCTGCCTCTGGGCCTCGCAAGCTTATGGCAATGTAGGGTTGGGCTTGCGGGGCGCAAGGCAGTCTGTGACCAAGACACAGACCTGCGGGATAGGAGGTGGCATCCATGCCTGGAGTGGGCGTGGCAGTCGGCACCCACCCTGCGGTTCTTCTATTGCACCCTGCACCTTTTGTAAGCAGAGCCAATGACAAGGGCCCAGCACCCACATCACAAGGGAAACTTGGAAAGGAATACTTCACTACTTCACCCAGCACTGTAGTGTTTTAGGAGTGGAGACTCCAGATTCCAAGTCTTTTTTTTTTTTTTTTTAAATTGTATCGTGTATATTTAAGATGTACAGCATGATTTTTTTTTTTTAAGAGAGAGTGAGAGAGAGAGGGGGACAGAGAGAGAGAATTTTAACATTTATTTTTTCTTAGTTCTCGGTGGACACAACATCTTCGTTTGTATGTGGTGCTGAGGATCGAACCCGGGCCGCAGGCACGCTAGCGAGCGTGCTACCGCTTGAGCCACATCCCCAGCCCACAGCATGATGTTTTTAAGACACACACATAGTAAAATGGTTATTGTAGTGAAACATCATCTCACACAGTTGCTAGATTAGTCTATTTTCCAGTGCTGTTACAAAGCATCTGAGCTGGGTAACTTATAAATAAAAGAGGTTTATTTAGCTCACAATTTCCAGGCTGAGAGTTCAGATGGCATTGCGCTGGCTCTGTGTGAGTGCCCCTGGCTATCTCACTTTGTGGCCAATGGCATCTTGTGCAAGAGGTAGAGATCAAACAGGGAAAACAAACAACATGGAGAGATCGGTGGATGGGAGGGGCTTTTATAACAACCCTCCCCCGGGAACTAACTAATCCCAGGAGAACTACCTTAACCTCTCTCAAGAGTGACACTGGTAGTGACCTCCTTCCTGGCCACACCTGTTAAGGGTTCCATTACTTCGCGTTGCCAAAGCTGGGACCCAGCTTCCCTCACATAAACCTTGGGGACCAGCCCCCTGCAGGTCCCAATCAGCTCATGGCTCACTCCTCAGGGGCAAGAGCCCCTGTGAGGGACACGCACACGTCACCACCCGTGGTCCCTCGTCTCCAGTGGATCCACTTGGATATCTGTGTCCTTTGACCTCCTTCTGCCTCTTTCCTGTTTCCTCCTGCACCTGATCCTGGGGACCATTTTTACTCCCTGTGTCTTTGACCTTTTGAGTAGAAAACAGAGCGCCAGGGAGAGGTCACAGTGCGAAGTTGTCCTCTGGGCGTCTAGCCTTCCCCCCAGCACGTGTCCTCTGGGCCCATGGCTTGTGGCACTGTCTCTTTGTGTCTGCACCTGCTTCCGTGTTCACTTGGCCCTTGGTGGACACTCATGGAGTTTGCATAACTTGGCACCTTTGCCAGGTGTGGCTTTGTGTCCTCTGAGTGTGTGCCCAGAGAGATGCTAGCAGGGTGCTGGGCACCCCCTGCTGCTTTCCCCACGGTGGGCTCGTCTGAGCCCCACGGTGTGCAGAGTCCCCTCTCCACTTCCTCACCAGCGCTTGCTCTCTGTCATCTGGACAGCAGGCGTGAGGTGGTGGCTGCCTGCATTTCCCTGGTGTCTGATGGCACCTTTCCACAGACCTGCTGGCCATTAAAGTGCCTGTTCAAGCCCTGCCCAGTTTTGACGGGATGACGTTTTCTTGCTCCCGAGTGGTAAATCTGACCCTCCCCAGTGAGCCCTGGGGTCTCCCAGCCATGGCCTTTCCGTTCCTTTGATGCCATCTGCTTGGTGACATCCAAGAAATCATTGCCAAAGCCCGTGTCCAGGCCTTCCCTGATTTCCTCTAGCAGTTTTGTGCTTTGGGGTTTTACGTGTTCTTATTTATTCAAGTTTATTTTTGCATATGGTATAAGATAA